CCACCGAAACAAGTAGCGAGAAAGCTACCCCCAAGCCCAGAGGGCTTGTTAAGGGTTAAGGGTTTAGGGTTTAGGGTTGAGGGGTTGGGTTTAGGGTTTAGGGTTAGGGTATAGGGTTTAGGGGTTGGGTTTAGGCGTTTAGGGTTTATGGGGTTTGGGGTTAAGGTGTTTAGAGTTTAGGGGTTTAGGGTTTAGGGGCTTAGGGTTAAGGTGTTTGGGGTTTAGGGGTTTAGGGTTTAGGGGTTTAGGGGTTTAGGGGGTTTAGGGGTTTACGGGTTTAGGATTTAGGGGATTGCAGCTTTAGTCAAAGCGTCCCGGTGCAAGAGAGCAAGAGAGCCCCAGGAGCTTTGAACACCGATTATGCTTACACTATGGCGAGACTGAATATGATTTGCGTTCGCACGCTGAATTAAAAGGTCTTGGGTGTTGCTGGGTTCAAGGTTCCATTCCAGACATACGGCAGAGGCTTGTGAACCCGGTTTAGGGTTGAGGGTTTAGGGTTTAGGGTATGAATGCTTACCGAGCCCCAGTCTAGTTATCAAGATCCCTGTATGTTTTCAGGATATCTAGGCTCCTAAAGCCCTAAAGCCCTAAACCCTAGACCCTGTATGATCTAAGGGCATCTAACTTTAAGGTATAGTATATTCCTGAATCGAGGGTGTTGCAGTATCTGGGAGTTCAACCCTTCCATGGCAGAAAGACCCTTCAAGGAACCCTCACACAAAGCCATGACGGAACCAGAGGAAGGCGGGAGCCCGTACAGTGATTCCAGTGTACCCAGAGACTCCAATACCCCTTAATTAAGGAATTTACCTTAAATCATATAAGGGGTCCTACTATAATTTAAGGTATCTTCCTTAATTAAGGGGTATTGGAGTCTCTGTGTACTTTCTCTTCCTCAATAACCAGGCCCAAACAAGTTAAACCTCGGAGATAGACCCCTAAACCGCAAATCCTAAACCTAAACCCTAAACCCTAAACCCTAAACCCTAAACCCTAAACCCTAAACCGAAACCCTAAACGCCTAAACCCTAAACCCTAAACCATGTAAAGCCAACAAGCTCAAAGTTCTCCCCTTGGCTACCTATGTAATTCCCCCTTAGGCTTACAGTCAGTCCATCGTTGCGAGCGGCAGGGTGCAGCTGAGGGCCTAGAAAGCAAACCCAAGACCTAAACCCTAAACCCTAAAAGCGCTAAGCCTAAACCTCTAAGCCCTAAAAGCCCTAAGCACCATACACCCTGAACCAGTAAACCCTCAACCAGACCCTTACCTCAGGTCCAGGTAGGCTCCTAGACCCTAAACCCGGCCCAGGCCAACTACCCTCTAATATACCCTACATACCCACTATAGGGTTTAGGGTTTAGGGTTTAGGGCCTAAATACCCACTATGAAGGACTATAAGGGCTCCATTAAAGGGCACTTGGGGGGTCCTGAAAAACCCTAAACCCTGAACCCTAAGCCCAAAACAGGTTACCTTTAGGTTTAGGGTTTAGGGTTTAGGTAAACCACAGTGCAGACGCGTGGTAGTTAGGCCAGGGTTTGTGGAAGTTTCCATACTGTAGTCTACAAAGGAACCCTCGTAAACAGTATGTTGAGGCCCAGAACGGAAACTACGAGCAACAATCCTAAACCCTACACCCTAAACCGTGCCTAAACCCTAAACCCTAAACCCTAAATCCTAGACCCTAAACCCTGCACCGATCCGAGCAACCGTTGAGCGTGAGCTTCACCTGGCAGGGCGTTCCGGAGGAATGGCTGTTCAGGGCTTTAGGGTTGAGGGTTCAGGGTTTAGGGTTCAGGGCTTGGGGCTTAACATATAATATAAGGGCAGAACAGATGTTTTGCACTTGTTTCTAGGCGGTTCTGGCATTTGCCTAAGATTACCGCGACAGACTCTGCCAAACTCTGCCAAAGCACGCGCCACATCTTGTAATAGTTGCGGCATGTGTGGTGCTGCAAGAGTCTTTTCAGAAGAGGACGTCTGTCTCTGTATGCAGAATTAGCTAGATGAACCTTAATCCCTTGCGCTTTGCACAAACACTTGAACGTCCTCAACATCAACTTGTGAAGTTGACTTATGATGTCGCCGTTTCAATGGCGAAGGAATCTTTGTTGCGGCGCACGGCTGCCATCTTGGCGTCCCACCTGGGACAGACGGATGTGGGGATGTAACGTACCAAGCCCTCATGGAGCGTGCCTGCTGCGCCTGTCACACACGTCGTCCGCAGAGGAGTCGCTTCAAGTCGTCGATACCCACAACGTGCAGGCACCGGCTCATGGTATGCCTATAACACGTACACCAAAAGGGAGGTGAGCCACAACTTGTCGCCTTTGTCTGGAACACGGCAGTGGAGGGACCTCTTTGTTTTCTTTTTCGGTATTGCGGTCGGATGCGCTGTGTCCGAAACGCTCCCCGCGTTGTGAACTCTAGGGTCCTGGGCTGAAGGGTGTTCCGGAGTTTAGGGCTTGAGATCTTTAGGGTTGAGGGCTAAGGGCTCAGGGAATTCGAATCAGGCACTACAAGGGGCTGTCATTGATGTTTGCAAACTGCAGATAACCTCGGCCCACAGCCTGCAAATGAAAAGTCATTTATATAGGTGTCTTCCTAGTTCGAACAGGGTTTTTGGATGGGTATATTATACTAAAACCATAATAGTAGGGAAGCCCCAGATAGCATTGGTAATTATTTTGGCCCTAGAATGCCTTATTTCGCATTGGCGACCCCTTGGGGACAATCTGTTCTACAAGGCATCGGCATCACGAGTGATCTCCTTGGCGATCAGGGATTTAGCACGCTCCTTTCTTATTTCTTGCTAATGTCGTAACAGGTTTTTAAGAAACCCTGGCCCTATAACACACAAACTATCAGGGTTCATATTGGGAACCCCTATAAATGCCCAGGGGTTCTTAATCATGTGTCCTATATTAACCCTAAACCCTAAACCCTAAACCCTAAACCCTAAACCCTAAACCGTAATATTAACTGTCCTCTCCAGTAAGCGGCCACCCCCAAATCCGAAAATTGAAGACAGCACCATTTTCAGAAGCCCATACAGTTCGAAGTTCTCCTGTGGGTTAAAGGCTTTAAGGTTTAGTTAGGGCTTAGGGTTTAGGGTTTAGGGTTTAGGGTTTAGGGTTTAGGGTTTAGGGTTTAGGGTTTAGGGTTTAGGGTTTAAGGTAAGGATTCAGCAACTAATGTAGGGGCCTAAATAATTACCTATACTATTTTGGGAGTTCAGTGTTAGAAACATAGTATAATGATTAGGGGCCTCATAAGCCCATTCTATTTCAAGAAAAGCCCTTATATTACGCTCAAAGCAGAACGCGACAATGAGCCCATGCTCCCTTGGCACCCTAAACCCTAAACCCTAAACCCTAAACCCTAAACCCCTAAACCCTAAACCCTAAACCCTAAACCCTAAACCCTAAACCCTAAACCCTAAACTTGCCCTGACATGGGGACCCGGGGGTGCTCTGAATTTCAAGCGTCCGTCAAACAAGGACTCGCTCAGGGTTTAGGGTTTAGGGTTGAGGGGTTTAGGGTTTAGGGTTTAGGGTTTAGGGGTTTAGGGTTTAGGGTTTAGGGTTTAGGGTTTCATACTTCAGAGTAAGATCTTATGGTTAGCCTCATATTTCCCCAGGATAACAAGAACGCTGCGCACAGTAAACCTATTGTAAACCCTAAACCCGAAACCCCAAACCCTAAACCCCAAACCCTACACCCGAAACGCCAAACCCTAAACCCCTAAACCTGAAACCCTAAACCCAAACACCCTAAACCCTTAATCTTATACCCTAAAACCCTAAATCCCAAAACTCCTACATACACCCTAAACCAGCACCAAAAAAAAGTCAGTTTGGGGCTTATATCTTAAAACCCTAAATCCCAAAACTCCTAAACCCTAAACCAGCACAAAACAAAGACATGTCAGGGTCTGGCCTTGACTTTGATCTTCTTGGTCTCTCCGGCCGGAGGCAGATCGATCTGCGGAGCATGGAGTTTAGGGTTTAGGGTTTAGGGTTTAGGGTTTAGGGGTTTAGGGTTTTAGGGCTTAGGGTTTAGGGTTTAGGGGTTTGGGGGTTTAGGCATCAGGGTTGTACTAAATTTAGAACAGAGCTCCTTCTTATGAGGCGTCTATAAGCATTGCTATAAAGGGTTAGTATAGGGGCCTTAATAATTCGATCGGGGTTTTGACGTTCTTATCCTGTAATCACAATAACGTATCCCACAATAGTACTGCCCCGATATTAGGACTTGTAGGGGGTTGGGGTATAGGCCTTAGTGCTTGTAGTGTGTAGGTGTTGGAACTCGACGGGCTCTGCAGCGGCAGCAGCGGGGATCTTCCAAAACAGTGGCGTCTTAGAGCCCACCGAAAACTTAGACGTAATATCTAAACCAAAAACGAGTGAGTTCTGCGGCCTGTATACACGCGTGGGAATCCGCCATCATACACGAACGCTGGGGCCTCGAGTTGTACTATGTGAGATCGAACCCTGTAGACTTATGGGAATGTTAAAGAACTTCGTAGAACTTCTACTAAACGATCCTAAACCCTAAACCTTAAACCCTAAAACCTAAACCCGAGATCCTAAACCCGAAACCCCAAACCCTTCTAGAAAGAAACTATAATAAGGAGCCTCAAGTGAAGGTAGGTTATTTGGGGTCCCGGTAGACCTTATATCATATCAGCGACCCTTCTTTCTGTTGAGCCATATTTCCGTGCTGAAAGGGATGTGGAGTCTCTGGCTTTATGACTCTGGGTCCCAGACACCTCAGAGAATGCAAAAAATACATCCGTTGAGGGGTCTATGCAGCACACCCTGCAGCCTTTAGTGGCGTAAGGTCCCAAACACGGGGCTCAAACCCTGAGCTCTGAACTTTCCACCAGAGGCTTTGGAGACTTAGGTTTGGGTGGCCAAGAGGTTTTGGTGCTGAGGTTTAGGGCCTAGGGTTTAAATTTCAGGGTGTATGTTAAGACGGTCATGTGGCTCTGGCATTGGGGTTTATGCCGAGGATGCATGTTGCGGTTTTCGGGAAACCCGTAACCCCTAAAGGTTAAATGCTAAACCCTACATCCATGAAAGGGAATGAGTTTACTCGTTCACGCAGCAGCTAAAACTTCGGCATCCGAACTTCGGCGCGACTTCCGGCAAACTCTTTCACAAAAGGCCCTCTGCACCTATGTAGTAGAATGTAGAGTTTCTATATTCAATATGACTATTATTATGGTTTGGAGAAGTATCCCCATAACAGTACCTAGGACCCATTCGGATGTAGCCCCGACACGGCACGTTCTGGTTCCATGGACATCGTGGTAAAAACAAGGACTAGTATACTACAGCCGGGACGAAGCCGTGCATGTGTTGTGATCCATGCCGGAACATGTTTGCTCCATTTCCAAGCGTAAACCGTCAAAGAACGAAATTCTGCAAAGTTGATCGACGTCGCAGACCCCGGCAAACCGAACACGCCGCAGGTACCAGTGTTACTGGTGTAAAATTGTAGTTCAGGTTGCCCGGCCAATCAAATGTTGAGTAGACCATGATTGTGTCGAGTGAAGCCTTAGGTGTCGATGTGCAGGCTCTCAGTGTCTCCAAGGGGTCATACGTACCGTTATGGGGGATACTTTCCCAAATCATAATAATAATTCCTGATATAGAAGCCCTACTTTCTGCTATGAACTAGGCCCTAAACCCCTTTCCCTGTACCCCTCAACCCTAAGGCGAACCCGAACCCTGAACCCCTAAACCCTACACCCTGAGGCCTAAGCCCTAAACCCTCTACCCTGACCCCCTAAACCCTCCCGTAAATCCTAAACCCCTACTCCAAACCTCCAACCCCCGAACCCCTAAACCCTAAACCCCTAGGCCAAAGCCCTGAACCCTAAACCCAAAGGCCCACGCCCTAAACCCTATAGGAGATTGAAATCATGGTTCGGGTTTGGGAGTTTGAGTTTGGGGCCTCTGATAAATCATGGGTTAGGGTCTGGGGGTTTAGGGCTTAGGGTTTGGGTTTAGGGCTTAGGTTTCAGAGTTGAGGGATTAAGGTTCAGGGTTTAGGGTTTCTGATAAGTTTTCTGATAAGTTTAGGGTTCAGGGTTCAGGGCTTGGGGCTTAGGTTTCTGATAAGTTTGGGCTTTAAGGTTCAGGGTTTAGGGTTCAGGGTTCAGGGTTTAGGGTTTAGGGTCAGGGTTTAGGGTTTAGGGTTTCTGATAAGTGTTAAGGTTCACGGTTCAGGGCTTTGGGTTTAGGTTCCTGATAAATTTAGAGTTTTTGCCAGGGTTGTGATCACAAGGATGCTTAAAGGGTTCTTATTCGGGCATTGACTGATGACGGATACAACGAGTGCATCGCCAACAACAGCTGAACGAAACTCGAACCGGGGCCCTTGTTAAAGGACCGCTTTACCGATCGCATAAATGGGTTTATAGTAAATGATCAGGTTTCGTTCTATGGTAACTTAAAACAAGCTCCTTATCAAGAGCCCCAACCGGCCGGCAAACCAAAACCCTAAACCCATTCTGACTGTTGAGGCAGCGAAGCCACCTCTGCCACATGCTGCAGTGTCCTGCCGTGATAGTCTTGTGGTACCCAGAGACTCCAAAACCTTTCAATTAAAGGCCGCGCCCTAAACCCTAAACCGAAACAACTCCCTAGTTCCTAGTTGAGATTGGAGGGACGGGTCTTGTAGCAGGGACTACTAACGGGACCTTGAAAGACCATCATAGGGATCCATTCCCCGATTCCCGGCTGCAAGCGAGGGACACAAAGGAGAGGAATGACGTTGAGGATCGGCTTCGTCCGGGCGTTTTCGGCCTTGAACCTCTTGGGCTTTGCGATCTTCCACGGCCACTTCTTGCAGAAGGACTGGTCGATCGCGGTGAGGCAGCAGCACCGTACTTGTCACCATGAGATCGTGCTACACGGTCCCTGTTCTTGCGCTTTCTCTCTCTCGTTACGAGCTCTTTGATTGAATTCTTGAGAAAGCCGTACGTGTGTTGCCCTGTGCCTTCCTTCGCCCGGTCAAAAATCTCGAGGTCATACTTAAAGCGCTTTGATTGTCGCAACTCCCTCAAAAAATATCCCTTAGGGTAGTCTCGTGTGTCACTTAACCCTGACATCACCGACTCCCAATTGCCAAGGAACGTGCTGAGATCATCATTAAGAAGACGAACCTTCAACAAGTCCTCAACCCCCAACCCTAAACCGCAAACATAGCAGCCTTAATGCTTAGAACCTGGAATGCAAGTATTTATTTGGGCTTCTGCATTCGACACTAAACCCTCAACCCTCCCTAAACCCTAAACCCTAAACAACCCTCCCTAAACCCTAAACCCTCAAACCCTATAAACCCTAAACCCTATAAACCCTAAACCCTATAAACCCTAAACCCTCAACCCTAAACCCTCAGACCCTCAGCTTCTTCAGACAAGGAAAGGGCCGAGGCCTTGAAGTTGCCCAGAAGCTTGCCGCAGCCGGGAACAAGCCTTGCTCGGGTCGTGTTTGAGGGTAGAGGCCTTAATGATTTGAATAGGGTTGCTTGGGGTTCCTTGGGGATCAATTAAAGGGTTCCTTAAAGGATTCTATAAGGGCTACTATAAGGGTTTAGGCCTTGCTCGGGTCATGTAGGGGCCTTAGTATTTTAGGTTTAGGGTTTAGGGCTTATAAGGTTGAGGGTTTAGGGTTTAGGGCTTTTAGGGTTTAGGGATTATAGGGTTTAGGGTTATAGGGTTTAGGGTTTAGGGCTTAGGGTTTAGCGTTTAGGGTTTAAGGTTTAGGGCTTAGGGTTTATAGGGTTTAGGGTTTTAGGGTTTTAGAGCTTCGGGTTTATAGGGTGAGAGCCACCTGGGATCTGATGGTCCTGTGGACCGTGAAGTCATCCGCGTATCCAGTAAGAAACTTCTGCACTGCCTCCATCCCAACTTAGGGTTTAGGGTTTAGAGTTTAGGGTTTAGGAGTTTAGGGCTTAGGGTTTAGGGCATCATGGAGGAGCCTACCAGTGAGGACGGAGAACAGAGTGGGAGCTTGATGCCCGTTGTGGTTTCGACATCCTCGACGGTCCCCTGTGAGTGCAGCCGATATTCAGAGGCGTGATGCAGGCCGTGTATCAAGCTCGACAGGGAGGGGTCCGCACCCAGACCCTAGACCCTAGACCCTAGACCCTAGACCCCTAAACCCTAAACCCTAAACCCCTAAACCCAAAACCCTAAACCGCCTCTTAGTGTCTGCCCCACTTGGCTTGGCTGTGCGACAGTTCATAATTTGAATAGGGCTCCTTGGGTTTAGGGTGTAAGGGCCTTAATGATTAGAACAGGGTTTTGGAGTATAATATACTAAGATTATAGCAACATACTACTGGTAATTATTTCGGCTTCTATATTGCGGAGGTTTGACTTACTTGCTATCGGGTTCTGTTTTTGGATGGTGCCGTTGGGGGTTTAGGGTCTAGGGTCCAGGGGTGTAGCGCTTAGGTTAGGGGGTTAGGGGTTTAGGGTTTATAAGGTTTTATTTGGAGGGTCAGGGGACTTAGTAAGTATAGCTGTTTCACTGAGCTGCAAGTATATACCCTGAACGCGACCCTAATTAGGGTTATGCTACTCATAAGTCCATACAGTAGCTACTTACTAAGTCGCCCCGACCCTGCAAGTAGGGTATAAAGGTCTAAGGGTGTAGGGCTTCCGGGCTCAAGGGCTTGAGGATTAGGGTTCAGGGTTCAGGGTTTAGGGTTTTGGACTTAGGATTTAGGGGTTGCGGGTTTGGGATCTAAGGTTGAGTACACCCTAAACCCGAAACAATGCCTCTAGTGGGGCCTTGACGCTTGTCATATGGGGTGTTTTTGTTCACTTCAGGGCAGTTTTCAGGATCTGAAAAATTCTCCTCCCAATATGCAACATCGAACGGGCGCAAGCTGGCAGCAACAGGCGAGTCGCCCAGGTCCAGGGCTTGCAGGTACAACTTCACAACATTTTGGATGGATCCCAGCTCTGAAGCAATCTGCTGCCGGAGCATTGCCTCCGACGGAACACCTTGTCGGTACCAAACCAACTTCCCGTCCACGATGACCGATTCCGAGATCATGAGGTTGTATGTTCGTCTGAGCAACTCGACGAACCTTGCCGAGTACTCGCGGGATAGCACGAGCGGTTCCCAAGCTTCTGGAGCTCCTTTCTCAGGCCATCAAACCAGTAGCCAGTCCTAGCTATCTGTGTGGGAACTGCGCCGGCATGCTCAAATTTGTGATGAAATCAGCTGGCCGATTGCGACAGCTCAGCGATCATTGCCAGAAGCAACAGGTTGCCAGGCTGGAAGCATTTCAGCATTTTGCTCGACCATTCCTGCTTCTTCTTATCCATGACCCGAATCTGAAGCAATGTCTCGACGAGGGGCCGGACATTCAAGATTATGAGCTTCGACACTTCAAAGACCGTGTCGAGTCTTTGCGGACCGAATCTGAAAGCAACCATTTTGGACACTGCAGTATCAAGTCGCTCAATGTCTGCCATGACATTCTGCGCAAAGAGATGCCGCATTTTGCAGGTCTTCATCGCCCGCGCCAGGCTCGCGATGTCAGCCTCAAATAGCTTAAACCCCTAAATGCTACACCCTGAACCCTAAACCTAAACCGGACCTAAACCCAAAACTCAGCACCTTCACTCCCCAAAACCCCTACAACCCTTAACCCAAACCCAAATCCCCTAAACCCGGAACTCTCAGCACCTTCATTCCCCCAAATCCCCCAACTCCCCTAAACCCTAGACCCTAAACCCTAAACCCTAATCCCTAAAACCCAAATCCCTCCATTCCGAGCCAGGATGCATCGAGGTGTCCTCGTACTCTAACTTCAGGTCGAAGGGTCCCTTGCGGTAGAAGGTGAGCAGCTTCACCTTCGGCCCCATACCGTAGGGTTTTGGGTTTAGGGTTTANNGGCTTTAGGGTTTTGGTTTTAGGGTTTTGGGTTTAGGGTTTGGGGTTTAGGGTTTAGGGGCCCAAACCCTACACCCTGTTATAATCCCTACACCCTAAATCATATATTGTGAACCGTAAACCCTATACCCTAAGCCCAGATCGTGTAACATACGCCAACCCTAAGAGCCCTATGCCCGTGTTGAAAACCTATGAAACTCGACCTTGAGGACGAAATGAACCCTAAACGGGTTTAAGGTTAAGGGTTTAGGGTTTTAGGGTTTAGGGGCGTAGGGTTTGAGGTTTAAGGGCTCATATACCATATAGGGATTTCATAGTATATGGGTAAAGGGCCCCTACTTTTAATAGTCGTTTCGCCTTTAAGGTATGAAGAGTGTGGAGACCGGGTTGGGAGCCGTTTTCTGGCTTCAGAGATTCAGTGTCTAGCGTTGCTTTTTAGGGTTTGGGCTTTAGGAAGTTGTGGTTTAGGGCCTTTCTGCCTCAGGGAAATGATACGGCATATACAGGATTTATGTAGAATTTCTCTACTTACTTCCTGAATCAAGGGTTCCCATCGACTTTAAAGGGTTTAACGGACAGACTTTCATAGGGTTTAGGACTTGGAAGTTGTTCACTAACTGCTTGAAGTGACCGTGATCAGGAAGACGCCTTATTTGGTACATACCCTAATTCGGGGCAACTTGCTTTCATTTGAGATCCTTCACAAAAACCCAAAACCCAGTAACCCCATACCCCTAAACCCTAAACCCTAAATCCATGCAGTACCCCCGAAACCTGAACCCTTTAAAGCAGGCAAAGTCGAGACGCTGCCATGGGCTGATACAGCGACTGGTACCGTAAAGACGTGCGTGTGTGTCTGTGTGTGTATGTGGGTAGATCTCTAAACTAGGGTCCTCTTTGGGTCCCTGTAAAAGGGTGCCGTACTATCTGGGGGACCTAAAGAGGACCCCAACTATCTGGGGGACCTAAAGAGGACCCCAATTTGTCAAACTACCCTGAGTCTGTGCTGGTTGTGTGTGTGTGTGCCTGTCTGTCTGTGTCGGATTGTCTGTCTGCCTGGCTGCCGTAGTAGAGTAGAAGGAGAAAGACTGAATGATACGAAACTGTCAATACACAAGTGGGATAAAATTATTATTACTTGGAGGGTCGGAGGACTTAGCAAGCAGGTAATAAGTAGAGCTATAGCCCTAAAAGAGACCCCAATTATGTGTAAAACCTAAACCCTAAACAATAATTGGGGTTATGATAACTATAAGTCTACAAAGTAGCTACTTACCACGTCCCCCGACCCTGCAAGTAAACGCCTAAACCCTACTCCTCTTCAAGCCGAGCAGCCCCAAGTCTGCCCGAAATCCAAAATCCTGAACATCCTCAACCCAAGAAGGTCCACATGTACTCAGGGTTAGGGTTTAGGGTTTAGTGTTTAGGGGTTTAGGGGTTTAGGGGGTAGGGTTTAGGGTTTAGGGTTTAGGGTTTAGGGTTGAGGGTTTAGGGTTTAGGGCCTCTTATGGAAGTCGGGCCCCAAAAGCCACATTAGGGATGGTCCTTTGGGGCCTAATTTCATCACGGCAGTACAATAAAGGACCCTCTGGGAACCCTGATAAAAGGCAGAGCGGCGGTGTTCATGAGGCTGTTGCGCGGGAAGACGGTCATGGTCTTATACTCGCCCTGTGGATGTGCGGGGCACGGGAACATGGTCATGGCCTTACAGTCGCCCGATGGATTCTTCGGGCTCAACATGGGTAGTTCTCTAAATTAGGGTTCCTTTTGGGGTCCTTTTATAAGGATGCCGTACTAAATTGGGGACCCAAACAGGGACCCTAATGTAGAAAACTACCCATATGTTATTGAAGAATAAAGTTTCACGGCGTATTATGTATACAACACTACTATAGTTTGTAGTAAAGAACCCTATTGGGAACAATAGTCATTGGCGATTGCTTATTCAGGCCCCTATATTATGGGTCTTCGGGCGTAGAGCTTTAGATGGTTTTAGGGTCAACTTCTGCATATTGGGCTAGGAACATATGTGCCACGGTTGGAGTTCCCGCATCCTTCAAGAAAAGTCCTAAACCCTAAACCCTAAACCCTGAAGTCCTAAACCCTACACCCCACCCTTAATCCGCAAAGCCTAAACCAAAAACCCAAATCCTAAACCCAAAGCCCTATAAAACCCAACCCTAAACGTAAGTCTTGAAGCCCTACACTAAAGGGAAGCCCCATTATAGAAGCCTATGGCATTACCGCTATGATACCTCAGGGTTTCTTGTTGTACTTACGCTAGAAAGGAGCCCAAAACCCTGTTCTAATTATAAATAGGCCCCTGGGTTCCTTCTTGAACATTACTATAAAGGAGCCCAGAACCCTATTCTAATAATTCAGGGCCCTAAACCCTAAACCCCTGAACTAGCCCTTATAGAACCTTTAAGGAACCCTTTAAAGGAACCCTATCCCATTCTAATCATTCGGGCCCTACACTAAACCCTAAACCCAAAACTCTAAACCCTGTTCAGGCCCTGTTCTAATTAACAAGGTCCCTAAACTCTTAACCCTGAACCCTGTTCTAATTATTAAGGCCCCTACGTTAGAAAGACCCCCCATCTTGCAGGAACCCGCCGTGAAAAAGAAACCCTTATAGTAGCCCTTATAGAACCCTTTAAGGAACCGTTAAACCCTTCTAGTAGCCCTTATAGAACCCTTTAATTAAGGAACCTTTTAAAGGAACCCCAAAACCCTATTCATGAAACCGCCGTGAAAAAGAAGAGAACCCAGCGCTAGAGCCTCAGCTCCTGCCATGTGTTCGCCTTCCTCATCTCCCTGGGCCAGAGCTTTAGGGTTTTCTAAACCCTAAACCCTAAACAGGGGTTTAGAGTTTTAGGGTGTTAGGGTTTAGGGCTTAGGGCTTCAGAGTTGGTTTAGGGTTGTAGGTTTTACGGGGTTGGGCTTTGGGGGCTTTAGGGGCTTTAGGGGGGCTTTAGGGGGCTTTAGGGGCTTTAGGGGGCTTTAGGTTTGCTTTAGGGGGCTTTGGGCTTTTGGGCTTAGGGGCTTTAGGGGCTTTGGGGTTTTGTGCTTTTTAGGGTTTTAGGGTTTTAGGGTTTTTGGGGTTTAGGGTTTAGGGTTTAGGGTGTTAGAGTTTTGGGGTTTAGGGGCTTTGGGGTGTTTAGGGTTTTTGGGGGGTTTTGGGGTTTTAAGGCTTTAGAGGCTTTAGGGGCTTTGGGGCGTTGGGGTGTTTTAGGGTTTTAGGGTTTTAGGTCTTTAGGGGCTTTAGGGGTTTAGGGCTTTTGGGTTTTTAGGGTTTTAGGGTATTAGGGCTTAGAGCTTCCGGGTTTTAAGGATTCAGCAACCCAAAGGGGTTAGACTTGAGGGTTTAGGGTTTTCGCAACCCACAGGGCTTAGGATGGGCTTAGGATTTGGGGCTTAGGTTGAGGGTTTAAGACTTTTTCGCTAGAGTTATAAGTGCCCCTTAAAGGGAGATCCTAATGGGCGCTATGATACTTGTGACTCGAAAACCCTTACAACCTAAGCCCCTAAACCCTAAACCTTAAACCCTAAACCCCTAAACCCTAAACCCTAGACCTTGAACCCTAAACCGTGGCTCTACTAAGACCCCGGACCCTTCGAAGGGTACGGGGCTGAAGGGTTGGAGGTTACGCTTGCGGGTCTGAGAACTGTGTGTACGGCATTGTGGCATTGATACGGTTGTACACGGTTTTTGCCTCCAGTGTGGCCTGCACGTTCTTTCGGCATCCTGTTCCAGGAGGCGGCCCAACCCTAAACCCTAAACCCTAAACCCTAAACCCTAAACCCTAAACCCTAAACCCTAAGGCAGCACAACAGGAGGCGGAGGTGGAAAAACCCTTGGCCCTTTCACGACCGGCTGACAGCCCGGAGGTTTCTTTTACAGGAGTTCCCGAGCCCACAGGTTTCTCCCCCAACCTGGCCTTCTTCACAAAGGACTCCACATCATCCTTCGACAGAGCTCCATAAAGAGCTGTGTTCAGCTCCTCCAGCCGAAGGATCTCCGCGTCTTGGCCTTCTACAGAAGGTTGTCCGTGTCCTGTCGCCGGCCGACCTCCGGCCGGTGTTGGGCATAGTATAGTATAGGTAATTAGGGTTTAGGGTTTAGGGTTTAGGGTTTTATTGAAGCCCCCTATATTCTACTGCGTACTGTTAGGGGATGCTGTTACTACTTACCAGGATGGCTCCTGAAAGCCTCCAAACATGCTCGAAAATAAGACGTACCTACGCACCATAAAGGGAAGATATTTAAAAACATTAGGGGTTTGGGGCTTAGGGGTTTAAGGTTTAATAATACGGGTTTATGGTTTAGGGAAAAGGGTATCCCTTATAAAACCCTATACCTAGCTTCTCTATACTCGCCAAGCCCAATAAGCCTTCAAAGCCTGGCCACTTTGAACACCTACCTGGAGCTTCCGTTCTAGCTCCATCTTTTCTGCTAGCCAGCTGTATGGTTAGGATCCTTTAGCCAGAAGTGGTTGACAAAAAAGGAGCTACAATGGAAGCTACAGGTGACTACTAATCCTGTTCTCTGAAGAAGCTTCTTCGATCGGTAAACATTGGGTCTGGCTTAGGACCCCCAACCCCGCCTGCAGTAGAGAAAAACTAAACTACCTGTTTAGGAATCCTTATTATAATTTATATATGGGCGTTGATCTAAACTAACATATCCCCGAATTGGGCTTCTTCAAGAAAATAGAATTTTCTTTAGCGTAACTTTCGCCCTGACTTTCGCGCGCCTTTTGCGGACACATATTCAAACCTCAACTTTCACGCGACTTTCGCGGAACTT